ACTGGATCAGATATAATCTGCCTATGAAGCTTTGGTCAAGCAGGTAATGATGTGCCAATGAGGTATAGCTAGTGATACAGAAACCTGTGAAATGCAATTTCATTCAGGACAGAAATCACTATTAAATTTAACCACATAAGGTTACATGCATTTTATTGGTTCTTAATCTATGAATCTCATAATAACCTGTAGCTAATGGCTTGAGATTTTTGTTTTATTTTTTGTTTTCAATCCAAACTCTTTTATTAAAATTAATTGGCAAGACAAAAAACAAAATAATGTATGGCTTGAACTTTAAGGGTGTTTGAAGTTATATTTCAGTGAGGCTAGCCTTTAGGCTAAACTTTGATATGCTACTGCCCCCAAAGGAACTTTGCCTGATACTAATAACGTTGCCAGAACATCCAACTGGCACGCACATTTATTAATATGTGCACCCATAGCCAATAATTTACTTGTGGACACATACTGGTGTTCTACCTTATTTATTCACTTCATATATTTTTTTGGAAGCCCTAGTAGTGAAGTCTCAAAGATAAGCTCCAGGTCTGCTCCACCCAGTTTGGAGTATAAGTCTGCTGCAGCTGCAAGAGTGTTAATTATTCTGCTGCACTCTTTATGATGTAAAAGGAATACAAACTATAACTTTATTCTTCTAATGGCAGCAGAAGGTTGGTGGAACTGAAGACCCATATGAATAGCTTTTGCTATGTGCATGCCAAAGCGAAGCCAGTGCATGATTTAACCACATATATTTAACCAAAAGAAATGTCAATTTGGGAGGAGGGGACTAGCTATAGTCCAAGACTATATAATGGATTAATTTCACTGAAGGTGCCAGAGAACATAGATTATCTAATTATAATACACTCAATGTAACACCTATCCAAATTTTTAAATAACTTTGCAAAAATATAAAACTCCTAACATAGATGGAAACCACTAATCAAAGCAAAGCTAAGAATTCATTTTCTAGTTATATAAAAACTACGGTTCATATCTCATCTTTAATATATGCTGTAAAATATTTCCCTTTATCACATTTCAGAGGAGAAAGGTGGTGTGATTGTATTGTATATTCTTGTGCCCCAGATCTGCCAGTGTACATTACTGTGTCTTTTGCATCTCTCTCTCTCCACCTGCACATTATCTACTTTCTTACATATATAAAAGTTTAATAATATGCAAACAGACAGCATTTATCTATAAACTAAAATAGGGGCATAGAGGTGTTTAGAGGAATTAAATTTAAACTCTGGACAAAAACTGGCATAATTATGTTATAACATTTCCAAAAGCCACTTCGATAACAGTTAGACACATTACTAACAAGTTGCACAAGGCAAAGAATAATACAGCATTTCAGAACAAAAAACAGTGATTTCAAATGTTCAGCCCACAGCAACAATATGAAGTTTGCAATCTAAAAAGTTAACAAATGGCTTACTGCGCTATTTTTAAATTACAAGCACACTTTACATCTCTAATGGCAATGAAGGCAAGAACTACACTTATTGCTAGAATTCTAAGCTACATATATCTCCAGAGTTGACTGAAATTAAGAGATATTTGCCAGATCTTATAGCTTTTTTATTTTCTTTAATATTGGCCAAAAAAAGTCACCAGAAACTTTAAATAACTATAAATAACCTTCCTGTAAGATATGAAATTTCTTAACTTATGAACTGTATAGACTGCGCTTTTTTTTAATGCACTTCATTTTAAACTGCTTTTACTTAAACCGTTAAAGTGCATCAGTTTCAAATAATGAACCACTTCGTTATCATTATTGATAAAACATAATCATAGCTATAATATTAACAACTAAAATGACTATAAGTACTGCATTCAAGCAGATAATCTATGTATTATTCTATGTAATACTGTCCAGCAGAACTAAATATCTTCTAAAAAAAAAAAAAAAAATATTCAGAATTCAAAAAAACAAAACAAGAAACAAAATACAAGATAAGCTTTACTTCTTCTTGAACCAGTAACTAGGCAGTTTTCTTAGAAAAGAATGTAACCTCAATCCCCTCAAATCCATCTGTTAAATTCATCACACGTTTACATTATTTCTACAGCACTGAAACCATACAGGACAATGTTTTGGGTTTAGTGGAAGTGGACACATATTTAAATGAATGAACACCTAACTAGTGAAAATCTGGCACTAACAGATGCCATGTACCATCTTTAACCTCAATGGGCACTGCCTAGTGATAACATCACATTCTGCTCAATGCCATGCCCCCCGCAACCCTCAATGCAATACTCTTTGTCCCTGTAAACAACAGTGAGGTTGACATTGCAGTAGAGGTGACAGGAAGGTGTGTGAGAGAGCAAAAAATAATGATTTGTATGTTCAATGCTCTGGTATCAAGTACACCTTGGGTATGCATGAAAATAAACAAAAAGTATGTGCAGGCACCTAGGCTCTGTGTACCTATATTAGGCTAGGTAAATTTTATAGATTACCAACTTTATTTCTTAGGTAGAAAGTCCATAAACTTACCTCGTGTTCTGGGAATTCCTGGTTCAACTTGAAATCTAATAATTTGTCAATAAAGTTTTATACGTGGCTAAAAATCGATCTATCTTTGTCAAAAGATAGTGTTTTAAAAAGATATATGTTGTTTGGCAGAACTATAGGAATAACTGTTTAATCTTTCACAGACTCAAGTTGCTTATCTTCTTTTTGCTATTAGTAAAAATAAAACAATTAAGCTGAACCCAGAGAGGCCAATGTGCACATACATATGATAAAGTACTATCTCAAAATGCTGAATGTACTGTATATTCTTTTTCAAGTGCACACTTTAAATAAACACAATAGAAACTATAGTTGTCTACGGCAACTGTATAGTGTTAGAGAGGTATAAAGAATAATCTGTCTGGCTGGAAAAACCAAAAGGTTTGTCCTTCTCCACCAATTGCAGTAAATAATTCAATTACCAAACAGAAGCTGTTTACTAGGAGTGTTCTATTGCTGTGGGATGACTTACATAATTACAGGGGTACACTCATATTTAAAAGCTACCCTACATCTCTTACCCCACAAACCTTCCACACATCTCCCAACAATATTTTTTGCATTGTTCCGATTTTACCACATTTTCATGTGTTCCTGATAATCAAAAAGACTTAAAAATAACTAAGAAATCAACATATACAAATTACAATGTCTGCAAAGCAACTTAATTAATGTCAACCATGAGGATAATGTCAACCATGAGGATACTTGGGCTTTTTCAATACAAATGTTTTATCATTGTGTTGTAGTGCATACTGTATTAACATGGCACAAACAGATAAAAAGGACCACTAAACCTATGAGATATGGTATTCTATGTAAAGGAACTTCTATAATAACATTTATGAACATGCATGTAAAAGTAATAATCTGAATAGACATTATGGGGTTTATTTACCAAACCTGGAGAGTACAAAGTTAGGCTCACTTCTGCAGAGAAACCAATCAGCTTCCAGGTTTCATTGCCAAAGCTTAACTGAACAAGCTGAGGTTAGAAGCTGATTGGTTTCTATGCAGACGTGAGCCTGACTTTGTACTCTCCAGGTTTAGTAAATAAACCCCTATGTGACAGTGCTGGCAGTTTCTTTCTACTGAGTTAACCAAAGGGAAACTGGATTTTGAACTTATTGTTCCTCATTTTTCCAACTTAATGTTAAACTTAATCTTGTGTTAAGTTTCTGAAACTTTTATGCAGTCATCCATAACGTTAAAGCAATTTTATACACAAACCACATTTTATGCTTACTGACATTTTAAACAGCAGACTGCAAATGGTATTAGGAATAATACCCCCACAGCCACCAGATAAAAATCTGATCTTAATTTAAATGTAAGCTCCTAGACTATTTGATATTTTAGGCCTTGTAACATGGCAATGCTAAGATCTGCCATGTATCACTCTCCTATTAACACCCCTTTTTGGCAAGGGGCAGTTAAGAGAGGCTGCTTGCCATTTGAATCAACAGAGTTAACTACACAGAGCTTGTTGCGTTTATGTAGTTTTTTCATATTTCACAATTTTTGTAAATATACACAGTACATGGATTTTGTTATTACATATGTGACTCTTTAGATTTAGTGGTCCTTTAAATTGTACCTGTCACCAATGCAGGAAGACATTTTAAAAGCTGACAATATTCAGCCATTCAATTCATCCTAAACTAGTAATATCACCATGGTGTGGGACATGTGACTGTAGTACTAACATTTTAACATATAAAAAGGATTTCTGTCAAAATATTGGTCCAGCCTAAAAAATGACTGCCTCTGTAAAATATGGACAACAGGTACATTAGTATACTCATGTTGAAAAGAGAAGGTGCGTTGTTTCACATTTAACAGTGGGAACAACAAAATGGAAAACTAAGCACCCAAACACGGGTCAACTGTATTTCAAGTGAACTTACACTTTAGGCCACTGAGAAAAATATATACTTATCCAATAAAAAAAAAAAAAAAAGAGGGAGTTGACAACATGGCATATGCAGTCAAGACCAAATACAAACATTTCATTTTTAGATCTTGTAATCATTGTTTAAATTACAAAATTATTTTCAGACACTACCTAGTGTCATCATGTTCTTGCTTGGCAATAAGCACTTTATCTAAAGGACTCCCAAACAAGGTATTATGCAGACTGCGCCTATAGAGGGAGTTAACCACAAATCTTGGATAGCTTTGTGGCATTTTTAAAGGTTCCAAACAGCATTGGGAAGGCACACAAACAGAGATTCTGTTTCAAATGCTTTGAAATCAGATGTAATACCCTGTGTTTTTTTTTAACAAGGAATGCCCCAAAGGCTCTTTTCTGCATGTTTCATATAAAAATACAGTTTCTCCATCTTAATTACCAACACAGAGACCATATAGCTGGCTTTCCACATATACAAACGCCCAGTCTTTTAAATTATGAAAATATTCCAAGAAAGTCTTTAGTGTTAAATTAATTTTTCCGTACAAAGGACCATCAGTTCTTTTTCTCTAAATAGTTTGAAGGCACCCATCCTTTAAATGGTTTTACACTATCAAGGATATGGCAGTACCACCAGCCATTTGGGTTCTTCTCCAAAACTTCCATGGAAACACCTTCTTGAAAGCCAACAGTTTTTCATCATCTCCTTCATAATCAGCAATGGAGATATACATATCTTTAAGGTTATTGTGGATAAACTGAGATTTCTCAATGGGCTTTGGTCGAACTGTTGACACTGGGATTCCATTTCTTTGTGGAGATCTGACTGATTGTTCTGGCTGTGATGAATCAGCTTCAGATTTATCAGCCTGCTTTAATCTTGACTCGCTGGCTTGACTACGAACAGTGTTAAAGGAGGAGTTTCTCCGAACAGACCTCAAATGATCAGTAGCTGAAAGTGATTCATTCCTACGCAAATGGCAAGAAATATTGTTTTCCTTAGGGGGTGGGGAAACAAACACTGACTGAGGTCTTACAGCAACTTGTTTCACTCCATTTCTTAACTTTACAACATTGTTTCCTGGCACTGTAGATTTAGAAAATCCACCTGGTGGTCTGGAAGGAACTGGAGGTGTTGCTCTCTTGGTCTGGTTAATAGTATTTAATGCTTGAACTCGTTTTTCTATCTTTTCTAGACTGTTGGATTTATTTTCATTTTTTCTGCATTTTGTAGATTCGGGCTCAGACACAGAGCTGTCATGTTCTTCTAGGAAATGAGATGGTGCCCAACCTTCTGATTCCTTGAATCTGACAAACCACCAACCACTATCTTGTTTCTCCAGGACTTCAACTTTTGCCCCTGCAGGGAAGCTAATTTCGGAGTCCATAACTTTCTGATATGTGCTTGTTGCTGTATAGAATTTTTTGTCATTGTTCTCTTCAGGTTTGTCTTTATTACCTGAGCATAAGAAAGAGGAGGTGGAAGTAGGAGTAATGTCTACTGAGCTTCTCCTTGGTGGGCTTTCAATGCTGTCCGATGCACTTTTGGGTGGACTTTCAGATTCTTCACTTTTTGAACCTTTAAGCCCACTCTTCAGTTGTCCTGTTGGTCTCAGTTGCCTTCGCAATGTACTAATGTCCATTTTTTCCTGGCTTTGGGAATCGTTCTTATTTAGGAAGGGTTTTGGTCTAACAGATGGTTTGGCTTTGGTTGATGGTAAAATTGCAGATTTTTGCTCAGGTTCTTTATTGGTTGCAACCTTTGGCACCGAACGTACACCAGCATCTGAAACAGACCTGGGTTTTTTCTCTTCATTTGTGGAGAAGGATACATTTTTTCCCATTTCTTGTTGGGTATTTCTTTCTATTTTATATTTTAGAAGTGGTGGTCTTGAAGTGGTTGCAGTAGGTGAACTTTTGTGAATCAATATGGAGCTTCTCTGTGAATCAGAATCTCCACTTGATTCCTTATTTGATGTAGAGTCATCCACATAAGGCTGGAATCCATCATTTTCATAAATTGTTTCTTCCTCAGTCACATCTTCACTGGATTCCCCAACTTTAAACTTTGGTCTCTGAAGTGAAGAAACAGGAGAAGGCTTTGAAGGCTGGAACATGCTTTCAACAATTTCATCCTCTAAATGTGTATGAGAAATGGAATCATTTCCATCAGACTCTATATCAAAATTGAAAGCTGGAATATCATATTCTGGTTCCTCATATTTTTGTTTTGAAGGAGAGTCCCTAGACTCACTGGTGCAGCCAGTACTTGTGGCTGAAGCTTCGTCTGGATTTTTTGGTTTTGTTGGTGGAGCAGGTGGGGGAACTTTTGGTCTTGTCAAAGTGCTAGTCCTCCGGTTTAGATTTGGTTTCTTTCTTTTGTCTATATAAGAGGATGGTGCCCATCCTTCTTTTTCACCAATCTGGACATACCACCATCCACCAGAATTCTTTTCAATAACCTAAAAAAAGCAAGAAAATATCAGTCACTTACATTTCTTTATGATAGTTTCCCAAATTGTGTCCTCTGACCGAATCATTCAAAGGCAAGCCTAAATTGCAATTAATGTTTTAAGTATTTTATAGGTTTCCTCCATGAAAACATTTCATATTCCTGATATTCATCTGTTTGTACCATGTACTTCTCTTAAAAAGTATCCTGTTCTTTGTATTGCTTCCTTTGCGTAACATACATAGTGTTCTCGTCAGTCCTGCTGCTCCCCTATTTCAAACTGATTATGTGATTACTTATATTTCTAATTTTTTATATATCTATACAAATGTTTTGCCTTTCATTTCTATTTTAGCCACTTGCCAACTGCCCACAGTACTTTTTACTGTGGGTGGGCGGCATGTAGAGTCCCGTATGCTACTTTGCCAGTACAGACACCAGGGCGCAGTGTGCCCCCCCCCCCCCCCCCCCCCCCTTCCAAGCTTTGCTTGTGATACTAGTGAGCTGTGATTGGTTCACATGGTATCACAGGGTACCTTGGCCAATCACAGCATCCTGTACCATGTGATTAGTTGTAGCCAATCAAATATCACTAATATTTGCACGATCATGAATTTAACCCATTCATGACAATTCAAAGAATTGCTGGTCCAATGAACTTCATTGTACCAGCAAAGTGTAAAAAAAAAAAAAAAATAAAAAATTTAATTTGCTGTCACCAGTCAGTGTCCCTGATCACCGCCACACCAGTCATATCATGATGCTGTACTGCACTAGTGACTGTATGTTTTTGTTTTTTTTAAAAATGTGGAAAAACCCCCCAAATTTTATTTAACTACTTGCTAACCACCCGCCCACAATGTACTGCAGGCGAGTGGCGGCTCTGGAAAATCTATTTCTGGGTGTTAGCGCCCCTCCCAGCCAGGGTCAGTTAGCTTTAGACTGCCTGCACACTATTGCACTCATGCTATAGGTCGCTGATAACCCACTGTTACTAGTATAGTGTTTGTATGGATCAATATATTGATCACAAACAGAAATATACTAGTATCTTCCTTAGTAAAGTGTCCCTAAAAATGCAGTATACAGTGATACATTGCACACAAAACCGCAGCGTTAGCAGAATCAGGCCTGATCTCTCCTAGCACTAGCAGGTGAGTTTTATATTTGTAGGAAATCAAGCAGTCCCTGACAGCCAGGAGATCTTTTTCCCATGAGTCGCACTAAGTCCCTTTAAATTTAGTGGCCAAAATGTCCAAAGAAAGGTACTCTAGTGAAGATTTATTTAATTGAGAGGGTTAATTGTATAGTTAGCCTTGGAGGTTGCCTTAGGATATGAGGATAATTGAGAGATTGTTCCACTGGGAAAGCCTTAACCTGAGACTCTCTATTTTAACTATGAAGTAAAGTTCCCTGTTCAAGTTAGAATATAAAACACATGAATTTTATGACATCTTTGCAGGTATAGAGGTGTGAGATAATTTTACTGTATTTATTTTTTGTGATGTGGTATAAATTTTTCATATTTAGTAGCGTACACAATAGCCAATTGTCTTGTTTAAAGATGGCCGACAGGAAGTGGGTTATAAAAGGGCCGATCCGTTGGTCTGATGTGCACATCCTTTGATAAAGTCAGAATGACAAAATGTGTGAGAAAGTGATGATGTACAACAACCGGAAGTTCAGCAGCGGCCATCTTTGAGAAGGTCTCGGACCATGTGTTGTATGCTGGCTGTCTTTCATACATTGTAAGCGTCTTTTTAGCAAATAAAGAGCTCTGATTTTATTCTACTACACTATGGTCAATTTTTGTTTGGTCCCACATGGATAACTGCTGATTGGAGGACCAGCGGGAAAGGGAGCCATAGGAGTCGGAGTGGCGGTTTATGGGATTGTTATACTCTATACCAGGGCTCAGTCAGTTGCTGCACTCAACCCTTACCCTGCCCCACCCCTAAACATGCCCTTGTAAATGATCTCATGAAATGACACTATTAAATGTTTTATGCAGAATTATTAAGTTACAAAAATAAATATTAACAATAACTTTAACAATATTAACATAAAGCAATCTAAACATAAAAGGAAAATTAATGCTTTACATTAATAGGGAAACAAAATATTAAGTGTAACGTGCTCAAACCTTTTATAAACCTAGATAATTTTTAACCCCCCCTTCACACCACCCCACCCGATGTCCTTTATTCCCCCTTCCCACCTGCCTCCCCCCCGCCACAGCCATGTCCGCTACCCCCCATCACACCCCCCTGACCCCCACAGCCATGTTCTCTACCCCCCTTTACACACCCCTCCCCCCACAGCCATGTCCCCTACCCCACACCCATGTCCTATACCCCCATCATCCCCCTCCCCACCTACACACACACAGCCAATGACCTTTTTATTGTTCTTACTGTGGTAAGCCATGTAAAGATACATTATGATTGATTGCTATGGGTTACTACATTGTGCACATCATTACTGTCTTGTTTAGCAAATATTTTTAATGCTATATTTAACCACTTCTGAGCCGCGCTATAGCAGAAATACTGCTACGGGGTAGCACGGCTGCGCAAAATCACGTATATATACACGTGATTTTGCAGCTCCGGGTAGGGGGCACGCGTGCACCCTACCCAAGCCGCCAATCGTGGCCTCTGCTGTCAACCACCGGGTCTCGGCCAGTGATTTCTCGCCAGCACCCGGTGATCGCTAAGTATCTCCGATGGGGGAGAGACCTATGTATAAACAACACAGATCTCTCCTCTGTCAGCTCCTGCACACTGCTTTGCATGGCTCTGCGTAGCAGAATAGTGTGCTTACAGTGAAACACAGCACACAGCCTCATAGTAAAACAGCACACAGTTAACCCTTTGATCGACCCTCATGTTAACCCCTTTTTATTAGCACTGATCACTGTATTGGTTTCAGAATGCCCGCCGCAGTCCTGCTATAAGTCGCTGATCGCCGCCATTACTAGTAAAAAAAAAATAATTCCAGTATATATACCGTCATTTGTAAATGCTATAACTTTCACGTAAACCAAATAATTTACACGTATTGGGATTTTGTTTTAGCAAAGACATGTAGCAGAATACATTTTGGCCTAAATTTATGACAAAATGTGATTTTTTTACTGCAGGCATCATTCTAAAATCAATCCTAGAGGCTAATTAGCTGCTGGATTAATTTTACAAGCAGCGAGAGGGGACGTACCCTCCCCCCTACCTTCCATGGCTTTTTTGACCTGTCTCGTCCCACAGGGGAACCCGAGAATGCAGCCGGCAGTTCTGCCTGCTGACCATAGAGCTGATCAGAGATGGAACAGCTCCAATCATCTCTATGGTCTATGAAACCGTAAGCTGCTAGTATTTCATCACTTCAGTTTTGTCAGATATAAACAGTACCATTCTTAAATTGGGAAAGCATCTGATCAGATGTTTTAAGTAGATTGGTATGACCAGATGTTTTAAGGGCAGAGAAGAGATCTAGAATCTAATAGACCCCAGATTTCTCAGAAAAGAGTCCCTGTCACTGACTATTGCTATCACAAGGGATATTTACATTCCCTGTGATAACAATAAAAATAATTAAAAAAACAAACAAACCAAAGGGACAGTGTAAAAGTAAATAAAGAAAAATAAAAAAAACCCATGCCTGTGCGCAAAGGCAAACGCAAGAATCGATCCCGTGTCGGTATTTAACAGCAATTGCACCATGCGTGTGAGGTATCACCGTAAACGTCAGATCAAGAGTAGTAATTCTAGCACTAGACCTCCTGTGGAAATTTAAAGTGGCAAACTGTAAAGGCTTTTAAAATGTTACCCAAGGATATTAAAAGTTTATGTAGTTTGTCGCCATTGCACGGGTGTGTGCAATTTTAACCCATGTCATATTTTGTATCTATTTACTTGGTGTAACATCATCTTCCAAACAATTCGGCAATATATTGTGTTTTTTACCATGTGACATTAAAAATCGCAGCACCCACCATTTTATTCTCTAGGGCCTCTACTTTAAAAATATATATATAATGTTTGGGGGTTCAAAGTAATTTCATAAAATCAAAAAATAATTTTTTTTAATGTAAATGAAAAGTGTCACAAAAGACTTGGTTTTCAAGTGGTTAGAAGAGTGGGAGATGTGTGGTAGAAGCTTCTAATGTTGAGCATCAAAAGTCAAGACAGTTCAAACATCCCCAAAATGACCCCTTTTTTGGAAAGTAGACACCCCAAGATATTTTCTGAGAGGCATGTTTAGTGCATGGAAGATTTCATTTTTGGAAAATGACAATTTATTTTTACAAAAAGTTTACATTTTAATAAGAGAATTCTCACACATGTCACAGGAATATATGGAATTACACTCCATAACACATTCTACTTCTTCTCCCGAGTATGGGGATACCCCATATGAGAGACTTTTTGGAAGTCTAGCTCTTACAGGACCCCAAAACCCAACAAGCACCTTCAGGCTTTTAAAGGGTGTTATTTTTACTCAGTACACTTCCTGACTACGGATCACAGTTTCAGAGGCCCAGAAGTTCCAGGGTAGTACAACCCCCCTCCCTAAATGACTGCTTTTTGGAAAGCAAAAACTCCAAGGTATTTCCTAAGAGGCTTGGTGAGTATTTTGCAGATCTAATTTGTTGCAACAAGTCTTCGGAAAATGAAGAAAGAAAACCAATATTTTTTTTTTTTCTTTATTTTTCTAAACCTTGTAACAAAAAATATCTGCAAAATACTCACCATGCCTCTTATCAAATTCCTTGGGGTGTCTATTTTCCAAAAAGGGGTCACGGGGGGAGGAGTGTTTGGACTATCCTGGTATTTCAGGGCCTCCAAAACTGTGATAGGTAGTGAGCAAGTGACATGAGGAGATATGCCCTTTGAAAGCCGGAAGGTGGTCATTGCTTTATATGTGTGTGCAAAATATCATATACTTGACAGCAAAGTTGTTTTTTTTTTTTTAAAAAAAAGAAAACTTTTTTAACCACTTGCCAACCGCGCTATAGCTGAATGATGGCTACAGTTATCAAGTTCTGGGAGGGCGTCATATAACGTCCTCCCAAGTGCCCAGTGCTGTCCGTGACGCTGTGTCCTACGTGATGAGGTAAAAGGCCAATCACAGCGGCCTTTTACCATGTGATCAGCTGTGTCCAATGACACAGCAGATCACCAAGTAAACACAGTTACCGGTCATGGGCTGCACTTTCCTCAAGCTGTGACAAGTACTGCCGATAACCGGCAACTGTCACAGAGCAGACCGGCACTGATCATCAGTGCCCAGCAGTGCCACACACTAGTGCCCAGCAATGCCTCCCACCAGTGCCTCCCACAAGTGCTACCCATCAGTGCCACCCATCAGTACTGCCCAGCAATGCCGCCCATCATTGTTGCATATCATTGCCTCATCAATGCCCACCAGTGCCACCTCATCAGTGCAGCCTAGCAGTGCCCATCAGTGCAGCTTATCAATGCCCATCAGTGCTGTATATCAGTGCAGCCACATCAATGCACATCAATGAAGGAGAACAATTACTTGTTTGCAAAATTTGATAATAGAAACAAAGAAAATCTTTTTTTTTCCAAATATTTACCTTTTTTTTGTTTATAGCACAAAAAAATAAAACACCCAGTGGTGATTAAATGCTACCAAAGGAAAGCTCTATTTGTGTGAACAAAATGAAAAACATTTCATATGGGTACAGTGTTGCATGACCGCGCAATTGTCATTCAAAGTCCAACAGCGATGAAAGCTGAAAATTGGCCTGGGCAGGAAGGGGGTATAAGTGTCCAGTAGGCAAGTGGTTAATGGATATTTTTATCATAGAAAATATAAAATATTGTTTGTTTTTTCAAAATTTTCTGTCTTTTTTCATTAATATCACAAAATATAAAAAACCCAGTGGTGATCAAATACCCCCAAAAGAAAGCTCTATTTCTGTGAAAAAAGGATAGAATTTTTTTTTTTGGGTACAGCGTTGCATGACCTAATAAATAGCAAAAAATGCCCTGGACAGGAAGGGGGTAAAACCTGGTGGTTAAACTGAATGGGTTGTGTTAAAAGGTAAGGCTTCACATACACTTTTTTATTGAAGGCCATAATATTATGGCAGCATGAAAGGAATTTCAAACAAACTCTATGTTAAATCAGGAAACCAGTCATTTTAATTTGCACCCTTCAGAACTGTATGTAAACTAATTTGCCACTATGTTTAAAGGTCCTACCTAGGGGTCCATGATGACATACTGGTGGCACTGAATGACCGGTACATTTTGAGCAATATTACATATAAAAGATCTCTATACAACCAATATCAACAGAAAAACATATACCAATGAACCTTGGATATCCATTGTAAATTCTATGTAACATAACATTGGCAATAGCCTATAAAATGATTTGCGATAAGGTAAAAAATTAGCTTAATTTCTTAACTTGTATGAGAAAAGTGGATGTACACTGGGAATATGCATTAGCTAGTGATAGACTACAAATGCACATTCCTTCTGAAATCACTGGTGATTTATTTTGAAAGGCATCAGATATTTCATCTTTTTAAAGAAATCATGACCCAACCAGTCATGCTTGAGTAAGGACTTGAGGGTCACATGCCTATGTGATGCTTATGTTGTACAATTTAACCTTATTTACAAAGAATAGAGCGATATGCTTACATCTGCCTTTTGACCTCCACGGAAACTTATCCCATCAGATATACATGACTGAAACTCTGCAATGGTGTAATATTCCACTTCTACTGACGGTGGTTCAGGTGGTTTTGGCAACTGAAATCCCTGTTGAATACAGAGTACCAAGAATTACCCTTCTTGTCAGGTTCAGGCATGCACAAAATTAAATTGTCAGTGTGCAGTTATTTGAGAATTACATAAAGCACATCTATTCCTAAGAACAAAACTTTAATATATTGCAGTCCTTACATGTGACTGATGATGTTTTCTTTTTGCAGGCTTTACCCCTTTATTTTCACCAGGTGATCCTGCCAGTAAAACTTTTCTATCCTAAGGTGAAAATGCTCACTTACTGTATTATTAAGGGACTTCTGCCTTGGAATTAGTTCGGGTTATTTAAGATTTGTGTAAACACAAACAGAATTCCGTACATTTTTCATAATGGTTGGTGACATTTTGCACTGGAAAGCATGGATACATTAGGAGCCTGATCACTTAAATTCAATGTCTGAAAGATATCTTACTAGTAAGACAGGGTAAGTGAATATTTTAATATTCAGATGTTTACATCATGTTAGTCATGTAAACTTGACCTAGCAAATGTAATAATATAAAAGGCACAAGTTGTTTTATTGCTATAATGGACAACTCTATATGTTTCTTACTGGTATACTCATACCATCTTAATTTCACCAAATTGTTACCAGACTTACTAAGCAACGAACAACCTTTTGTGTTTTCATAAGCTATTTCCCTTATTACAGACAACAGTCCATTACAGCCATAGCACTTACTTTAAACTCTGTAATGAGTCTTTGGATTATTTAAATTTCTCATTTAAAATGTCAATCCCATTTAACATGTAACTCAGGAAAATCATCTAATCTGGACTAAAAAAAAACAGAAGGATAACCAACCAAGCTAGATTCTCTCCGAGGTGGTGGCTTCATTCTCAGGTTTGGAGAACCTGTAAAAGACAAACACAATAAAATGCATTTTGATAATTTGGTGTTGAAATAATATGCAATATTATGGTAACAGTAATCATGCAGAGAAGTCATCAGATTGATCAAACATAGCCTAGAGGCAGACATGATGTGTATAGTGCACAGTTAACTACTTATGCCAGCATAAATATGCTTGGAAACTGATCCCACAGGGCATTAGAAATGGTTCTATGATAACAGCCTCAGACAGCACATGCAGTCACTCTATGCCCAGTTGTACTGAACATTCGGCTATCTGGAACAATGTAAGCACATGTACAGCTAGTCTGTGAAAGATTTGATAGTTATTTGAATACCTTTTCTGTAAATAGATACCAATTGGACTTAGAGGGGTAGATTCACTAAAGGCAAATAGACCATGCACTTTGCAAGTGCACTTGCTCTAGAACTTAGTAAAAGATGTAAAGATTCACTTTACAAAAAATACCCATTCACATGCAAGAAAAATTAAAAAATTAAAAAAACAGCACATGATTGGATGCTGGAAGTCAACAGTATCCTTTAGTAAATCAACTCCAAAGTGTATTTCCAACTTTGCCGTCAAATTGGGGTGACACTGATAGGGTAAAATAAGTATTTAACACGTCACCATTTTTCTAGGTAAATATATTTTTAAAGGTGCTATTGACAGGACATCTTCACCACGTTGGTAACAAGCCATGCAATCCATACATACAAAGAAATCAAAACAAATAAGTTCAGAAATTAACTTATGTGCAATAAAATGGAATGACACAGGGAAAATGTTTTGAACACGCTAACTGAAAATGTAATACTTCGTACAAAATCCTTTGTTGGTAATGATAGCTTCAAGACGCCTCCTGTATGGAGAAACTAGTCAAATGCATTGCTCAGGTGTAATTTTGGCAAATTCTTGCATGCAAACAGTCTTGAAGGTTCCATGGGCCTCTTCTATGAACTCTGATCTTTAGTTCTTTCCATAGATTTTCTATTGGATTCAAGTCAGATGATTGTGTCTAAAAAAACTTATATAAACACCTCAACCCAAATCAAAATATTTATACCTAATAAACATAGATAAACTGTATGTCTAGGAAAAAATGTGGTGCCGATAGATATTAATGACTTACAAGTTTCTTTTATTAGTTAAAAACCAAAAAACACACTAAACATATAAATGAACCCATTAAAAAAATATATCAAGAGTCAGGTCTAAGGACTAATGGAATATCTCCAAACCGTATCTATACATATAGTTATAATTACCATAGGTGCAAATCAAAACAATTTCAGTTACCAAACAAAGCTGACAGCTCTCAGGGATTTGGGGACAGCTATAAGCAATAGAAAAAGATAAATAAAGTGGCAACAAGTTAAACAAAATGCATTCCCAAACTCCATCTTCAAAACAGTTGGCAAGGAATATATTAAATAAATTGTTGGAAATGTAGATCTGACAATGTGTTGTGGATCAGAGGTAAGCCAGATTGACCTCAATGTTCCTTGTGCTTAGAATGACATCAACTGTGACTGTGTGTGAAATTCCATATGTGGACAAAGCTAGATGCATGTGCTGTAATCCCCAATGCCCATACTGCAGGGAACAATTGGATGTGGTCCAGAGGAGGAAACAGAACTTCTATGAAGGTGTTCCAAAGATGTATATTGGCGCACAGATTAACTTCATATATCTGTCAACCTCCGTTGCACAATTGGTTGCTGTTATAAAAGGACATCCACATAAACTCTAACTTGGTTGACCAACACACATACCATATATGCGTCCCAGCCAAATTGCAGATCAGAGGCTTGGAGTGGAGTTTCAATGTAATAGTGGTCTTCTTATAACCACAATTCAGTACAGCTCAAGTGTTGCCTCTCATAATTACAAAATTGGTATACTTATCAGTCCATTGGATAGTCCAGAGTTAGTCCTGATATGGCTGATGATCCGCCTGACCGGTTTCACTGGCTGGATCAGATGCATGTGACAACCTAACCAACCCACTTAAAAGGCTGCAAGGTGGACGCTGAAGGCTAACCGCGCATGCGCGGTGCGCCACGACGCATGCACATGACGTCATGCGTGACATCATCGCGCCGCTTGAAAGTGCGGATAAACCTACATTCAAGGGGGAAATCCATCATTACAATACTAGGACATGGAATATCTCCAATCCCCGGGGCACCACCCTAAATGACTCATGCAATACCCTTATTAGTACACAAGATGTCTCCAAAACTGGGGACAAAATCTTATGAATGATAATGAGAAATGTTCACACAAATATATATTCACAAAAGGAGAAGAAAATGGGAGACGTATCTCTCTTCATCTCCTCTTCCCCACCACTCTTCCACACCTTACCTTCACCCAAATCCAAAATCCCCCCCATCCCAAATACACAACATATGAACATATACAAAGTTATCTGTTGGAGAGTGTATATATATTTTTTCCATACAGCATAGAAACGTTTTAATGCATTCATAATATCAATTCTAGGGTTGCATCTGCAATAATTTTAGAAATAATAAAAAAAATTGTAGTTTAAATTACGACAAAACAGGAGGAGAAGCTTATTTAATCATTAAGGCCAGTTGGTCTGGTCACATCCAGCTCCCAGATCCACCGAGTCTCATGCTGCAGTAGCACTTTGTCGAAGTCACCCCCCCCCCCCCCCCCACCTACTCTGAGGGACAACCTCGACCACCCAACATTTGAGGCAGGATGGATCCTGATCATGTTCCAGGCAAACATGGCGTGCTATAGGAGCTCTAAGATGGTAGGTATCAATTTGTAATTGTGATCCTGAAACCATCTGCATATTGACCTGAAGGTCTTGCCAACATAGGAGGACCCACAGGTTCAAGTGATAACATATATCCCACCAGTGGTGTCACAGGTAACCCTCTGATTGCACCTTAGGGTCCCTCCGGTAGGCAAGACCAACCTGTCACCTTCCACTATGCACATTCAGTAATCACACTGACCATATCTGACCAAACCTGCTCTTCTGGGGCAAGTGGCAGCTTTCCATGAAATATCGCTATGGACCAAAAGGTCTCTCAAGGACAGGGCCTTACGATGTCTAAATTTGGGTTTAGTAGATACCAATTTTCCCACTGATGGATCCTCTGATAACAAGTGTCAATGTCTGGCACAAGTATCTTCTACCCCACTTGTTAATTCTGGGTATTGAAAACATAACTTAACTCTACTTGCCATATCTAAATCTCCTGACTTTTTTGGCCAAACAATAAGGTCTCTCGATCCCTTTCTTTGACCCGTCTCTAGGCAGATGTTAACCATTTAACTATGTATCCTCTCCTACTAAATCTATTTTGCAACTGCTTTGCCTCAGTGTCAAAGTCAGCCAAGTCTGTGCAATTCCTTCGAGCTCTTAAGTATTGGCCAACAGGAATACCCTTCACCAAGGAACATGGATGAAAACTATTAGCATGTAGCAAGCTATTTGTAGCTGTTAGTTTTCTATATAGGGTAGTTTTTAATGTTAATTATAATTATTGCGTTATTTCTATGGACAAGTCTCTATCCTGATGCCTGATGCCAATCACTTGTAAAGTGAAGGTTATAGGGATTTATCGAAAGTTGGCCTACAAATCCCCTTATTTCCACCACTGTGCCCATCAAGAAAATGAGAACGTCATCAATGTACCTGTACCAGGATAAAACCGACGACACCCCATCTGTGAATAGCCAGAACTCCCAATCACCAAGGTAAAGGTTTGCATAGGCTGGGGCACATTTAGTGTCCATAGCCGTGCCTTGAGCCTGGCAATAGTATTTCCCATTAAACTGGAATTTATTGTGTGTCAACAAAAACTGCAGAAGTGTTACTATAAATTCCTTTCTTTCCAATTGGTTTACTCCATAGGGTCTTCTCATTTGCCTGTAGACCCCTGTTGTGGGGTATTGAATACAATGCTTCAATATCAAGTGTGAGCAAAATTGTACCAGCTGGTATTGTCACAATATATAGAAGAGTCAATAATTGCAGGGTATTGGTTAAGAACAGATAGCTGTAGTGTCCTATCAATGGATTCAGTCAGTGACTCATTCCCCAAAATGATGGGTCTTCCCAAGGGGATCAATCACTAACTTATGCACTTTCGGTAGTGAATAAAACACTGGTATCCTAGGATGTTCAACTTTCAAAACTCTGTTACTTTATCTATGAGGCCCTTGCCATATGCCTCATCAATAATTCTAGAGTGTATGTTGCTCTCTAGCCAAATTGATTGGTGAAATTGATGTATACCACTCAGAATTACTAAGAATACGCTTGCACATCATAATATATTTGTCCCTATCCATGAGGACAATGTTGCCTTCCTTGTCAGCGATCTTAACAACTATCTCAGGATTCAAACGTAACGCTTTAGATTCATTAAAATTATTGTGTGTTATATAATAACTTTCCTAAGATATTAAATCTCATTAATTACCGCCTTCACAAAACATGAAATAGCAGAAACCGCCGACATAGGAGGAAACCCTCTTATAGAGCTGAGTGTCCACTGACTGGTCTAGATTCTCGGTGGATACTATCGTCTCCCCACTCACTTCCGGGGCTAGGTTCAACATAAGTCTGGCGAAATTGTCATCATTAGTCTGGTCAACATGTCCTTCCTCCCAAAGGTCAATAAGGTCACTTAGTGTACGGTACTCATTTCTTGTCAGACTGGTCCAGTCTCCCAGGGGTCCCTAAACATTAGTTTTGTTTCTTCGAACATGTAAAAGCAACCTTCTGGCAAACAAATACAGATCCTTTACAACCTCAAAAATATTTCCCTTGAGAGTGGGACAAAAGGACAGACCTTTACCAAGTAGGGACAGCTGTGCTTCAGTCAAGGTCAAGCTAGACAAAAAAAATGATTTTTAATTCTTCCTGTCCCCTTTGTTGAGAACATATCCATCCAGTCCATACTGTCACTTGGGAAAAGGAATCAAGGGTGTCTGTGATTGATTGTTCCG